TATCTTATAACCTATATTATATTATGTTATATATAGTATATATATTATATATATATTATAACATATCTTTAGCTTGATTATAACCTTATGCCACCAGTCATGGTCTACAGACAGGAAAATTACTGCTTAGTATTCATAAATTAGACAGTTGGGGTTCATGTGATCTAGTACAGGCTTTCTCATTTTATGAAAGGTGGCACTGATTTTGGAATTGGGTAAAAGTGTGTCTTGTATAGCATTGTAGTAAAAATTAAAGTAGTTCATTAATACACAAAAATTACTTCTAAATGAAAATGGTAGAAACTAGCCACCATCATTATCATTGTTATCATCATCATTAAACAAACATCATAACACAACAGTTGGCACTGAGCAGTCCTGTTCAGAAGTCCACCTCATCTATTTGCACTTACCTGCACAGAGGACCAAAAAGGCCATGCTGACCAAAAGCAGAAGGACCCCAGCTGGCTTCATGTCAATGAGGACTGCAAGATCTAGAGGAAATACAAATGTAAAAGAGTTTAATACTGTGGATGCTGTTTTACAGGCTGTATATATATGTGGATCTATATGCATGAAGCCAAGTACCTATACATTTGTCATTCAGCTACATCCTCCACCCCTATTATGCAATGTATTTCTATAAAGAATAAAGAGACCAGAAACCACAGAAACTTATTTCAGGCTGTTTCAGTCAAGAACAATAATAAAAAAAATGATGTTTAGGCAGAATTAAATATAAATAACACACCTGAAATTCCTCCAGCTCAGCACATACTTGTGATCATATCTTCATCTTACAATTTGTATATTTTGGAACTGCCTGGAGCAGAGCCTTTGGGCCACAAAGCTTCTAATTACAGTAACCTGGAATACAGTGTGAATAATTTGTCTATAACATAATAGCATTTGGTGTCACAACTATGAGGAAATTAAAAATGTTGATGTGAGGGATTTTGAGGTCAAGGAATTTGTATATGGGGAAACAACTAACACTAAAAGCCTTTGGAAAAAGTCATGTACTGTTGCAGAAGCTTCCTCAAATATACGAATATTTTAGGTCTTTTCTCTTCCTTTTTTTCTACCTGAAAAAGTTTCTCACCTAGAAACTTCAAAAATGCCTTGTTGTTTAAGTTCAAATATTGCCTGCTTAGGAAAAAATTTCCTTGGTCATTCAAAGTACTCTCATCTTCAATCATACCAACATTTCCTATTGTCTTCAAAATGCTTTTAAAGGTCTAAAATTACTCTTTTGTTACAAATTTTCAGATGTATTTTTCCCACAACCAAATGAAATTTAAATATACAAATTTTTCTAAGTAAAAATTATGGCCCTTATAATCTAAGTTATAAACTACTGGTCCTTGCCCTCTCCTGTGTCTGCAAGCACATACAGTGTCTTAATACACACATGCACAGAGACACTATTTGATTTTTGCAAATGTGAGACAATAAACATTCCTTTCTTCCTTCCAAAATAATAATTAAGCCTTGCTTATTTAAGTGTAATTAGATGCCAAAAATATAATGACAGTAAAGACATATTCATGGAAGCTTAAGTTTCATGTTTTCATGTCTTCATGTTTTCTCAAACACTTGAAGGTGGAGCCTATTGGTTCCAGGATATTATTATGTTCTGGGAATTTAAAAATGAGTAAGAGAAACTCCCAGGTAACAGTAATAACAATAAAATACAATGAAAGCTATATGCAGATAAGTAAGGGAGCCTTGAAGAAAGAACATTCATTGGAAAAAGTGTGGGAATTATGGGGAAGCAGAGGTAATGACTGGGTTTCTCAGAGGGCTTAGCTTTGAAATTATTAGTTCTCGAGGCACATAAAGGAATACTCATTATAATAGATACTAGTGCGAGAAGAAGCTAATATAAGAATTAAAGTGTGCTTTTGCAGAGGATTTTTTTCATTCCAGAATTTTAAACACGTGTTTGATCATATGACGACACCTTCTCCTCTCCACTTCCTTCCACTATGCCCCTTAATTCCATGTCTTCCATTGTTATTTTTCCTTTTCTATTAAACAATTTTGTTTGTTTTTTTAAAATTTTTTCCTTTAAAAGGCCTTTGATTCTTTTTACACACCCCCTAAGCGATCCTGGGTATGGGGTCCATGCCCTGGAATCTAGTCAACTAACCAGGCATTACACTAGTAAGGAAAACCGATTCTCTCTCACAACCAGCATCTACCAGTTGTCAATAGATGCTAAGTTCAGGGTGAGGATATTTTGGGGTTATGAGGGAGATTTGAACCCAGGGGCTTGGACATGCTGGACAAATGCTCTTCCACTAAGATACACCCTACTAAGGTGTTGTCTTGGAAATGAGAGCAATGATTAAATTTAAATGCACAGATAGGCCTAAAGGTAAATGGTGTTATAGGCCATTTCATGATGTTTTTAAACCTGGAGTCCTTTAAATTTGTTATTAAAATATATGGTATATTTTTCTTCCCAAAACTGTGTTGTTGTTGTTCATCTTTGGAGTGCGCTTTGGTTCTTTCTTTTGATTTTCCTTGTATTTGCTTAATTTGCTGTATTCTTCTTATTCCTTCTCAAAAACAGTGTGCTAGATAGCTTTAGTGTCAACTTGACACACCTGGGTTGTGGGAGCTTCAGTTGTGGAATTTCCTCCATTGGCCTGGCCTGTGGCCATGTATGTGGGGCATCTTCTTCATTGTTAAGTGATGTGAGAGGGCCCAGTCCACTGTGAGTGGTGCCACTCCTGGGCAGGTGGGCCCATAAGAAAGCAGGCTGAGCAGGGGCCAGGGGAACAAGCCAGTAAGCAGCATTCCTCCATGGCCCGTGCTCCAGCTCCTGCCTCCAGGTTCCTGCCCTGAGTTCCTAGCTTGGGCTCGTGATGATATGGGATATGTAAACTAAATAAACCCTTTCCTCCCCAAGTTGGTATTGATAAGAGTATTTTGTCACAGCAATGAAGACACAAACTAAGACACATACTATAATTGATTTAATCTAAGACACATATATTAACATAGTTTTAAAAACATGTTTGAAAAAGAAAAATTATGTTAAATGTTGAAGAAGTAAACAGACCAATATAAGACTGGTTATGGTTAGATATTAAGCTTTGAACAAGTTTCTGGAAATCTAGGCAAAACGAGGAAAACAGCATATTAAATCAGTCTGAATTATCTGAAAGAACAAAAATTTAATGTACAACCTGATAATTTGTTTCCTAATATTTTCAATACAATATTGTATTGTATTGCAATATTGTAAATACACGTATGTCTGCACTTCTCTCATTTATCAGAAATTATTACCATTGTAAATATTTTATTATGCTTTTGAGTACATGCAATATTTTTCTTTTTAATTTTGAGGGTATCATAGGAAATTAAAGTGTGGAGAAGTTGTTAGCCAATAGTTCCTTTTGTTAAGACTTATTGTAAAGTTAAAATAACTGTGAAAGCATGATAAGGCAAAGGAGTCAGTGCATACTTTCTGCATGTGTTAAAATCTTTAAACTCATATGTGCAATTATTACATGTTAATAAAAATTAAATTTTCTTGTAGTTATCCATTGCTTCTGGCTCTTAGACTCTTTTGACCCCCTTCTTTGATGATCCCTGAGCCTTGAAATGAGGAGGTATGATAAAGGTGTCCCATTTAGGTCCGAACACTCAGCAGTTTATTTTCTCTGCACAGTGCCCAGTTGTGGGTCTCTGTGATAATCACTACCTATGGCAAAAAAAGCTTCACTTATGAGGTCTGAGAGATGCAGTAATCTATGGGTATAATGATAAGCCTTTAGAAGTTAAATACTTGTCCATTTATCAGAATAACAGTAGTTAAGTCCTTCTGTGGGGCCTGTCATCTGTATAGCCACAGGTTCTTCCCAACACAACAGAACAGTTGTCCATATAAACTCACAACAGTTGTGACAATATGCACAAGGCCTGGACTAGCTCAAACCCTGCAAAATCAAATCAAAGAGGTTGAGGAAGTTGGCACAGTGTCCTACCGCTACCTGAGGAGTTATTGGTAATTGATAGCTGCTGGTGGAGGGAGAGAGTCAGTTTCTTTAAGAGTATAGGTCCTGGGCAGGCTCATGACACTCCATTGGATGACCACACACCCAAGAGTATATGGGCAGCACAAACTGGTTTCTATGGGTTCAAATAAAAGGAGGACAAAATACTGGTGGGTAAAGAAGTGAGTGTGGATCTGGGAGGTTTGTGGGATGAGGGGTCAATATGCTCAAAATACACTGTATGAAATTCTCAAACAAATAATAAAATATGAAATATTTAAATCTTATTTTAGAAACAAAATAATTTAAAAAGTAAGCATGACAAATAAACACATGTTAGAATTTAGTAGACCTCATTGTGTAGCAATTGAGTGCTTCTGAGGACTATGCCAAAGAACTGGAAGATATTTCCTTCATATCTATCATTAGGAACATGTTTCCATACACTTACATATACTGCACTTTAAAATATATATGGAGATGCATTATTCTATGATTATGACACTCTCATCAGAGAACTTTCATCATGTAACAGGTGGTTATTAACACAGAAACCCACAACTGGCCAATGTGCAGAGAACAAGAGACTGCAGCATGTGTATCCTTAAATAGAACACCTGTATCAACCTTCTGCCTCCCAAGGCTCAGGGATCATTACAGAAAAGTGGGTGGAAAGATTCTAAGACCCAGAGGTGGTAGATGACCACAGAGAAACAGTTTTCCAGACAGCTGGTCAGTTGCTCAATGAACTCACAGCAATGGTGACAGCATGTACAAATCCCACGGAAGCTCAGACCAGACAATCCCAGCACAGACATGTAGTAGGGAGTAAGCAGCTCCAACCCCACCTAAGGAAATTGTGGCAACAGATGGTTGTTGAGAGGGACGGAGACAATTTCTTTCAAGTATGGGACTCTTGGTAGGTTAACCAGACTCTAATGAATAGACTCCCACTGAAGGACATTTGGAGACATAAATTAGATTCTATAGGCCTTATTATATATATATAAAATAAAGTACATTAAATTAGGAGAGTGCAATAAGGGAAGGTGTGGATAAGGGAGGGGATCTGAATATTATCAAATCATATTGTACAAAAATCACAAACATTGATAGAGGAAAAATATGTATAGAGAATTTATAGAATTTATATTTATTCATTTTTTTCAAAACTAATCTGTGATGCCTAATCATCATTATGTGACACCATTGAGCTGTACCAAATTCTGATTTAACTCACATTTCCTGATACAACTCATACCAAAGCTATCTTCAAACTCAAAATCTGATTCCTTCCAGGCACTTGGCACTCTGGAGAAAGTAGAGTGACAGAATATCTATAGCATAGATTTGTATATTGACCTGGTAAGGACAAAAGATTTTCCAACCCTACTCCCTCTAGAGGAGATAGACACCAGAGAAACAAGTAAGGACTTCCATGAAAACAAATGAATATTCTCTTTTTTAATTCTTCAT